TCCACTGCTTTCACTACAGGATCCCTGTCTATAGAAAACCTGTCCCATTTTTGGATGAAACTGGAGACCACAAAGTCCACACCTAATGTACCCAACCTGGTCCTGGAATACCTCTGAGTGTATTGACCACTAACCCAGGTCCAAATGCTTTCTGCTGAGAAAGTCTAACTGCCTATTGGCTACTCTTGGAATATACACGTTGGACAGGACTAGAATGTTCAGATGAGGACAGAATTTGATCTATCTTTCTTGCTGCAGTAAGATTTCTGGCTCCTCCCTAAATCATTGATATACACCACCACTGTGGCATTGTCCAAATGAATCTTCATCGGATGGTGCTCTAGTAAGATGGTTCAACGTTGCAGAGACAGCCAAACTGACCTCAATTCCAGACTGCTGATTGTAAGACAAGAGTTCTCTAAAGACCAAGTCCCCTACACCAACAGGCTGCGCAGGATTTCTCCTCTGCCTGGCCTGACAGGGTGGCATTTATTGTGAGGATTCTTCAAAAGACAGGAAGGAAGGATTTTCTTGAGCTGGATTTATGAGCCACCAAGTCAGGGACTAACTAACTTCTACTGGAACAGAGTTTGAAATGCACCTCACATGGACTCAGTGACTGAAGGTCAGACACTTACTTTACTAATTAGATAGATACAATTTCACAGCACACCAGCTGGAAAAAGTCCAGCGAAGGGCAACCAAACTAATTAGGGGTATGGAGGACCAGAGCTACGAGACGAGGCTTCTAAATTTAAACATGTTCACATTAGAGGTGAGGAGATTAAGGGGGATATGATTTCCATGTACAAAATGTTTAATGGTGGTAGCAACATTAGCGATAAACTGTTTAAAATTAACTCCGTTACAAAAACTAGAGGCCATCACCTAAAATTGGTGGAAAAAAAATTCCAGCACAAGGGGCGAAAGGGGTTCTTCACAGTAAGATCAGTTAGGGTCTGGAACTCACTGCCACAGGAGGTGATTTCAGCAAATAATGTGGAATTGTTCAAGAAACTTTTGGACGATTTCTTAAGGGACCGTAATATACAGGGGTACGGGTACTCCTAGAATGAGATCCTAATAGGTTGGACTTGATGGACTAATGTCTTTATTCAACCTCAAATACTATGTAACTATGTAACCAAGTGTTATAGGTTTTCTGTGTTTGAAACTTTGAAATGTTACTCCAGAAAAAAAAAGAAGATTTTTGTACACACCCTAAAATTTATTTTTTTACTCCTATTGAGGGACAGGGGAAGCCTTTAACCTTTGGGTTATACTGCCGCCAACAGGAGTATTGTGTGTCCAAAACAGGAGTATTGGACACTAGAGCTGCAGCTAACGATTATTTTCAAAATCGATTAGTTAGCCGATTATTAAGTTCGATTAATCGGTTAATCGGATAAACAATAAAAAAAAAATGGCTCCAGTTATGGGACTACTAGTTTGTATTGAGATTGTAGTCCATCACAGGAGCAAGCTTGGAGCGGTGGAAAAAAATAGTGTGGTGTGCAATATAGTGAAAAGGAAAGTGTAAAATTATACAGCAATGAATGCAGAATTGCACCGGCTATAGAGGAATACAAATCCCAGCAATAGTACATTATACAGCACAATGCAGAATATCACCAGCTATAGAGGACTACAACAAATCCCAGCAATAGTACATTATAGCTGGTGGTATTCTGCATTGTGCTGTATAATGTACTATTGCTGGGATTTGTTGTCTTCCAGCAACTTGCTTCTGAGATTGGACCTGTCTATCAGCGGCTGTCACCCCCCACACCTGCTCCTCCTTACTACATCTCCCCGCGTCCCTGTGCCAATCGTGGATGTGGGCAGGCGGTGAGTGTGAGGCGGGGAGGCGCTAAAATAGGAGAATGGATGGGGCGAGCTACATGGGAGATCCCCGGTACAACAATGGTCTTTATCAAAGAGTGTGAGGCCAACAGCCTCTGAAACCGAATAGATAAGACAGAAACCTGAACATTGATAGTGCTGAGAGCCAAACACTAGTCCAGACCCATCTGAAGGAATAAGATTCTTCCCACAGGGAAACTTCTGTGATGGAAGCCCCAAGACTAAAGACTAAAAGCAACTAAAATATGCCTTTCATGTCCGATGATAGACCATGAGTAAAGCAGACTTCCTAGCTTTTAGAATTGACTCAGAGATGTCTCTGTCCTTTAGAACCTAGGCTTCAACAGGCATGCCACGACTGTGAATGCAGGATACCAAATCGGCTCTTGGGACAGAAGATTCTGATGATCCAGTAGAGCCCATGGGGCATCTGCCAGGGTGTTTTACCAGGTTGCCATACCACATTTGTCTGGGCCAATCTGGAGCAATGTGGGTCACTGGAATGCCCTCCATCTTGATCCTGCGAAGACTAGGAAGACATTTCAGTGAAGGAAAGGCAAAAGGGTGAATTGGTCTCACGGAGTCAGCAGAGCATCCACTGCTTTCACTACAGGATCCCTGTCTATAGAAAACCTATGGGCATACATTTATATGCTGTACTTAATAATACCTTAACATTCTGCATTGTAAGTGTGGAATGCAATCATATTATTTATACATTCTTTGAATTTTACAACTACAAAAGGTCCCAGATTGTAGAGCGTGTGACACCACACACTTTAGATGCCATGGGAAACATCTGTTTCTGTACATTTTCTAGGTATCCTTTTTGCAAGTTGGTACAAAAATTGGAAAAGGTAACCTCAAGGTGAGGTCTACTTTTGTGAGAAGTCTGAAAAATCCAACTGATCAATGGAAAATGACAAATGACATTGGTACAAACTAAATCAAAGAATGACAATTGTAACAATAGGATATTACATTTCTGTGTCCCCAGGAATTCTACAGAACTAATTAAATTTCATGAGTTCTGGTCTTTTGATATTCAAAGCACAATATACTTGTGAGTCCAAGATTATATGGTAACCTGAAGGCTAAAGTGTAATCTCAATGTCAGTTTTGATGGCTTTTGAAATCTTCTATTACACTGAAAATGTTTAAGGCTCTATGTAGAAAGCAGAGAATGAGGTGATTATCTACAAAGAAACCTTTCAATCGTTATTGAGAGAAGCCAGACAGCTTACCAGCACTGTGCAATCTTGGTTAACGTTGGAAATGTTAGCACCATATAAAATATCATTAATTTCTTAATGAATACTGCTGTAAAATTGAACAGTACCTCCAGGGCGATTTTGACATCAGGAAGACCATTTGGATCAATTGACAAAACATTTGCTGTGTTCGATTTTTCAGGTCCCTTCCCTGAAACTTTCTTCCTCTTCTCTATATGCTGACTTGTCTCTGGTCTTTTTTCTAACACAGGTATCCAAGGCTGAATTAAGCCTCTGGCTAAAGTATTGGAGACTATTACCAATAGCACAGGGTTCCTAAGCGCAAAAAAGAGAAGCAACATAAGCTGGTGCTCTGGTGAACTGTTCAATACATAATATACAAGAGGGAGATTAAGTAAAGCATACATTTGGGAGAAATTATTGTTCTACAGAACTTGAAAAAAAAGATGTGTATATGCTTTAGAAAGGGAAATATTTTTACATTAGTAAAATTATATTTAAGTTTTAACATTAGAAAAGTAAAATTCAGTACTCCCATCACTGTCCAAAAACGTGCTGGTAGGTAGGTGGTGAGGGGTTGATCTGTGTGGAATATTACATGTATACACACAAGCAAAAACATAAAGACTGCAATGCAGGTACGGAAAATGTCATGACTGAATCGTCAATGGACCAGCATCTTATTTCAGGAAATACATGCTCATCCTATATAATGTCTAGACCTTTGGTTCGCAACTGGTGGGTCGTGACCCAAAAGTGCGTCACGCCCCCATGTTCAGTGGGTTGCCACATGCCTTCCACTTTTCTCGGTGAGGCACTCCTCAGCCTCCCCCTAGTGCGGCATGGTCAGTTCTTGCGCCATTCAAAATATGCTGCCCGGCTCTGAGTGTCAGCTTCAGATGGGGTGGGGTGGGCTGGAAGTATGCCCATAAGGGAGCTCCATCCATATGTGCATTGCATACAGCTCCCACATGTGCCCTATAGAGGTGCCTGGAGTGGAGTGACGGCACACTCTGGTTCCTGGCACCTCTACAGGGCACGCAAGGGAGCTGTACAAACAATGTACATATGGATGGAGCTCCGTCACAGCACAGTAGCCCACACTGGACCCCAAGCTGAGGATCCACTCCAGTTCTCATAAGGTAGGGAGACTAGGTGGATCTTAAAAAAAAAATGATTTTTTTAGAGTCTCTTTGTGTGTGTGAGAATGTCTGAGAGTGTGAGATTGTGTCTGTGGTTGTGTGCGTTTGTCAGTGTTTTTGAGGGTCTGTTCACACTAGTACAGTGCATTATTCGCACAGTCCATTGCGATTAATGCACTGTACCGCGCAATCGCACCTACTATGCTTTCTGTGTGGAGGGTGTGTTGCGCTGCCATTAATTTGAATAACAGTTCAAACGCACCTCCCACCCACAGTCCGATCGCTGTGCATTCCATTGCAGTGCGACTTGGGTCACGACTTAATGACCAAGGACAAATGTGGGTGCTGAGGTTGAGAACCACTTAAGAACAGGTTGAAAACCACTGTTCTAGACAATGAGGGCCAGAGAGTTCTGGGTTAAAGGAAAATGAAGGCAGAAATACTATAATCTTATCTCTAAAGCTAAACTCCAGCCTTACCTTTTTTCCCACAATTGTAGAAAAACTTCTACTGTGTTAAAACTGATTACTCCCAAATTCCTGTAAACATGCATCTACACAATAAAACCCTTTGAACTGCAGCAGCTATCTTGAACACAACTTCATTTTCTGTGTGAATCATTAATAATTTCCTGCCATGATCCATACTATCGTTGCTCCTTCCCCCCTTCCTACAGCTATTAGTTTTCTCTGCCATCAATTATCTGAGAAAAAAAACGCATCACCAGCATCCCTTTAGACGTGCCTGCAACTTACCCATTGTGTCCAGTTTTCTTGATGCCTGTAAGAAGTTTCCTTAATGGTTCCACAAGCATGGATAACCTTCCAGAACTGATAATATGTTTGTTGTGGTTAAGGATGTACACAGCTGCATTGTGAGTTATCCACCCCTCCTGTAGTTCCACACCTAACTCAGCAGCATTCAAAAAATTGTCCATTGCATATTTGGAAAGCTGAGAAATCCAGTCTCTAAAAGATATATGAAAAAAACAAATCTAGATTATGAGGTTCAATAATTAATTGTGAAAAATACTACCAGCAACTAAGTTTGTTAACGCACTATAACTGAATTTTGATTTCTGTAATTCAAATGGCTGTTAGATTCAGAAACTATATTGCAATTTAATTGTACACATATTAAGCATAATATAAAAATAAAATGCTAAACACAAGTTTATTTTCTATAATTATTTCTGAATTTTGTGTCTAGCCTACAGTTATTTTTTTATTGGTAATTCCAGACAAACATTTTATGGTAAATATACACTATATGGCCAAATGTTTGTAGGCACCCCTCCAAATGATTGAGTTCAGGTGTTTCCAAAATGGACTACTGTTAATGCTACAGCATACTAAGACCTTTTTTTACAATTGTGCACTTTCCCCCTTGTGGCAACAGTTTTGTGTTCCAGCATCACTGTGCCCAGTGCACAAACCAGCTCCATAAAGACACGGCTTTATGAGTTTAATGGGAAGAACTCAAGTCCCTTGCACCTAGACCCTGAACCCTACTGGACACCTTTGGGATGAACTGGAACGCCAACTTAGAGACAGGTCTTCTCACATGTGTAGGAGGAAGATCATCAGCACACACAGAAGATTTTTGCTGAATCCTTGTGTTCATTTATTATGAAGCAGCTTCACATACTGTATATCAATATAGCCACTGTTTCGGGGCCACGCAGGGTCCCTTCATCAGGGCGACACAGTGACTAGTCACGAGCACCAAGGCCGTGAATTCTGTAAGGAGTGCATGGGAAATATCTGTACATCTAGGTCTTCTCACATAACATCAGTACCGGACCTCACAAATGCTCCTTTGGCTAAATAGTCACAAATACCCATGCACGCACTCTGAAATCTTGTGGAAAGCTTTCTCAGAAGAGTAGAGGCTGTTATAGCTGCAAAGAGGGTGTGCCAACTTCATATTAATTGGAAAAGGAGGTCTAACAATAGGTGTAATAGTCAGGTGTCCTCAAACATTTGTCCACATAGCATACTGTATGTCGGGCACCACTGGGTTCCTAAAAGTTTGCTTGACTTTAGGCCTAGTAAAATTAGCCTTGCTGGAGTGTGGAAGGACTGTGTTGATAACTCTGCTACCTTTGCTTGACATATCCCTAGATACAGTATATATCAGTGGACATATTCTCTCCAAAAGGTGGTTATGCCTTGTTCATGTATTTCTTGGCATGTGGTGACAACTCTCAAATGTGCACCTGCTTTGTCATTCCATTACATGTATCCCTGGTGGATACAACAAGTGACTGACTTTCTGATAGTGATTGTTGTCACTATCGGAAAGCTGGTCCAGAGCAATGATGTGCAGCTGGCACTGGAATGAGTGCATGTAGACAGGAAAGAGTCTGGAAGAAATCTGCAGCACTGAGATGCAAAAAAGGTGAAAACAGTATTTTATGGAAAAGAAAACCACGGCAATTGTTTACGATACAAAGGGCTTCAGCAAACTAAATGCCATCTAGCTATATGGTTTAGATCTATTTTACAAACATCCAATAAGAAGATCCTTATCATGTATGTAGTTACCCATGTAAAATACAAAGTTCCCATTTAATGACCCACATCATATCACAGCCTAACTTGTGGTTATCATGCTATTCGATTCTATGTAATGGTATTGTTTTTTATTGAGAATGACAGCATCCCTGAAGTACATGTATGATCACTGAACCAGAACCTGCTGGGAACCAGATAAACAGAACCAAAAGCGGCTCCGGGCACTAACATCAGAAAGGGAATCAACATTGTCAACATATATCACAATTGAACTGGAAAGTTTCTGTTCACATCACAGCTCTGTAACTTTTCCAATGTCCAAAGCTAAAAAGTTTTAATTACTAGAGCTACAGCAAGATAAAGAATTATTCTTAGAGATTACATCTTTCTTGGCAATGCTAAAAGGGTCAGGCTGTACTAAAATAGTAAAACCAAATGTGAGAGAGCAGCCCATGTTTCAGATGCATAAGAAACCTAAAGTGTTTCTGTGGCAAAGAATCTCTATCAGAGTCTCAGCAGCACCGTAATGTGTGACTTTGATGGGGATGGAATTACCAGTGACAAGTGACAGCTCGCTAGTATTGTGAGGTGCAATAGTCCACTGACCAGATCACAGACAGTCAAGTAATATAAAACAGTATAAAATAAATGTTGATGCTGGAATGAAGAAATCTGTATTAAATAAATCTATAATGAAGACTACATTTTTAAAGCTAAACTCTAGGCATACAGCTAAGTTACATAGTTGAACAATGTGATATGTTTCCTACTTTACCTGGAAAAGTAATTTTATTTGTGTCCAAATGCTGAGATTTACGCAGCTTCCAGACAGCTTGGCCAGGCTGGGGAGCTAACTTTTCTCTCTTTCAGCCATGCAATACAGCATAGGCATCTCCCTGACTCTGACTGGACAGTGAGGGAGCAACAGCAGACTGATGAGATCATCTCTCAACTTTCCTTCCCTCACCAGGTTACTTGCCAGCACATGTGCATGCAGTACTACTGATTGGCTCTTAGTGTGGTCCTTTCCTCTCCCAATCTACAGCACAGGTGATAACAAAAGGTTGACATCAAGAGAGAGTCTGGTAATTACACTAGTTGCATTTAAAACACTTTCCATGATCTTTAATGAATACATAACTGCATTTACAGGTGCGTTTTTTTGTATCTGTCTGTCTTTAACTATGGGTATCCTTTATCACAATGTGTCAACCTATCAATGTTTTGTCTCTTTTTGAGTGCACTGATCTATCACATGTATGGTAACACATTCTTACCTATAAACAATCCATTCGGGGTCTTCCTCCAGATTCACAGGTATATAAGATGCTGGGCGCATACTTGTGTCTTCTGGTGGGATGGGAGGCTCATTGATTTTACAGCCCTCTGACTTCAATAGGTGTATTATGGCCTTTACATTATAAGGTAGAAAAGTTGTACATCAGTACCAGAAACTATAAACATACATTGTATACATCCATTAGCTCATGTGCATCATTTTTGACTAGCTCATAGGCACTGTTCAAGTATTTTATGCAAAACACTGCTTTGGTAAATGGTCTTCCAAAGGGCAGGTGTTGGCTATATTTTCTTTTCTTCTTTTTATATAGTTAAAATGTTCATAACATGTCCTGTGCTCGAGCGTCTACTCTTACGTCTCTTTAGCAGTGAGAACCTTTGCACTTTTAGTTATCAGAGGCAGGGTAAAATTCTCCACAGTTTCCAAAGAGATAATATATACCTATGGCAAATGGAAGTGTCAGTACTGACACTTCTTTGACAGCACCTCAGCCGCAGCGTGAAACATCACATAACATCTGCTGGGTTCTTTCATTCCCAAAGACTTTCTAAAGCTAGTGCTCAGACCAAAAGTTTAGCTGCATAAAAAAGGAGAATTCCAGCTAGCACTACTTTGGTTTCAAGCAATACAGATGTGACTAAGCTACCACTTAGTAATGTACATTTGAAGCTGTAAGGAGATGCTTGAGGAAATAAACATCAGGGACTCATTTTGGAATTGTTATCTGTTGTATAAAGACAAACCACCTCTGACCACTGGCAAAAGTTGACTCAAACCTGTAAAAGTAATTTAAAGATCTATAATACTGATTTATTGTTGTATATAAGAGATAATATAATAATCAGTGAAGTGTTTCTGCTGATAATCTCTCCTGTATGAAGGCAAAAGCTCTGTTTGAGCTGCTAACACTGGAAGGGATACAGTTATAAACAGCGTAAAAAGATCGACAGCAGGTGGAACCTTTATAGTTTAATTATAAAGAGATTAAAAGCATATCTATACCCAAAACCAAAAAAATAATATATCACAGCTATCAATCCTTAGATGTGGTGGCTGCATTAGATTTCTTTTTTCAGTCTTTTTTTTTTTTTCTTTTTTCACCTGGTAATCCTGAGAATTAAACACTTCGTGTCACCTCATATCTACATTGTTATCCACTTTGTTTCTCCAAAGAATACTAAGCTTTCTGTGATTGGGTAAGGGGCATGTGAACAGCATGATCTCCCCTTGTCCATTCAAAGAATACAAGGTGTTCTGTGATAAGAAGACATTTTCTGAGTGGGGGAGCTGCAGAGTGAGCGACCCACTGTGATTGCTATGACTGTAATCGCTATGCTCCATCCCTGACTGTCAGGTTCACAGCCGGGAACTCCATCAGAAACATCAATGGCAGATGGTTCATGTAAATAAATGTTTTCAAGAAAGAAGCAGCCACCACCAGTGGGGCACATATCATTAGAGGTACCTCATAGGTACTTAGCTAAGGCCCCAATAAAGTGATAGCCACTCTTCAGCAAGGTTATTGTTTACAGATGATTAACGTAAACCTGCCATATGATAAAATCGGGAGCTTCCATTTACTTCTGAAAACCCAGAAAAAGAAAGGTATGAATACATCAGAACTCCTAATCTACATATTTGTTTTGAAGCAAGATGGTGAGGTTAGCACGACAGACAAGCAACTAGCAGTTTCAGAAGGAAGGAGAAGCAATGGTAGTCTCCTTGTTTCTGTTGTGACAAGTTTAATTTAAATCACTCAGCAGCAATAGATTAAACCTGCCGACAAAGATTAGCCCTAAGTAATGTAAAAACCCACAAATGTATATAAATATGCATGTTTTTTTTTTATTGGGTGTTTTTAGGCATCTTCTTTACATCCTGATTCCTAATGCTTTATATGAAGCAACAAGATCAATGTGCTATGAAGAAAAGCAGAAGCAAACAGTATGTTCAACTCAAACACCGACCTCTGCATTGATGAATCGGATTTCTGCAAGCATTCTTAATAAAGCTTTCTCATCACTGAACAGCTCAGTCTTGGACTTGGTCTTAGAAGACTCCAGTTCTGAACTTCTGCCTTCTTCCACTGCATTGGACACAGATTTTGCCTTTTGTGCTAATGATAGGTTGTAAATAAAACCAACAGGTTAGCAAGGTCAATCAATGCAGTTTCACAGACACATATGTTTTCCATTTAAGATATTTTACAGAAATAAAGCATTGGTTTCTTAAACAAAGGGTCGGGACCCAAATTAGATGGCAGACATATTTGTAATGGGTCACCACATGAAGTAAACGCAGCCGAGATTGTCAGAAAGCAAAATCAGTGGCAAGTGAAATAGTACACTTCGTTTGTCTTTTTTTAATCATATACCGTATATACTCGAGTATAAGCCGAGATTTTCAGCCCATTTTTTTGGGTGAAAAGTGCCCCCCTCGGCTTATACTCGAGTCAGCGCCAGCGCGTCTTCTTACTTACCTCGCCGAGCGTCGCGTCACTGCTGCTCGGTTGTGCGGTAATCTGAGACGTAGCCTTTGAGCAATGTGGTTATAACAGAAAATGTTTGTTACTATGGCACTAAATGTAAATAAATAATTCCAGCCATGTCACAACCACTGCTTTCAAAACCCATGAAACAAAGTAATATGACTGACAACACAGATACATATGGGGGGCTAGAGTGTGTGTGAAGTAAGGGTGGGGGGGAATTCCACAGACAGGTGTATGAACCACTGCACAATATTACTATCAGTGTTGCTTTAATCTCTTTTTAACACTTTTCCTTAGTAGTTCTTTTGCTGTCAAAACATGATTACAGAGCTCAATAGCTCAAACTGAAGTTTACACAAAAGTGAATGACTCAGAGCAGTGAACCCTCCCCCTCTCTCTCCGAAGTTTCAATCAGAAACAGTATATCTGAAAGGATACAACTACTGCTGTATCATGTGTCTTTCCAACCCCCAAACAATCAGATATAGAACATCAGTATAAAAACTTAGACACGTTAAAATTAAAGTTAACCCAAATCAATTACATTTTTGCAATAGTGAAAGAATATTGTATTCTACTAGCTGTATGCAGTTATATGTATGTATACAATATTTTTCACAATCATGGTCCTTTAAACGAAAAAAAGCTACATAATTCATACACCAGATGCTTAACCCTTTGACACATATCTATCTTTAGAACAAATGTATAGCGCATATTTTTTATTCTACACTTCTGAGAATAAAAAGGTTAGACACATGAAAGAAGTTGCATATATTATAAATGATGGAAAGAAAGTAAACTTACAAACAGCTTGTGTGGGCACACTCCAGCGGCCATCATCATAAAGGAGGCAAAACCTGCACGCGGTCCTACACACATCCCAGACTTCTTGTTTCCGAGCAACTTTGGCCAAGTCTGCCCAGAGTTTGGCCCTAGTGCAACATCAACAACCATGAAACAACGGAAGTGCAGCAGAATGTGATCATGTATGATATATTAAAATATATTCAAGTATAATATAGTATGGTAGAAAAGTATACATTTCCTTCATTCATGCTCCTCATTTGACAAAATCAAGAAGCACTTACAGGGTTATTCCCAAAAGGGTGAAGAGTTTGGAGGAGGCAGGAGAAGTGAACAATCTAGGACAACATAGCTGAACTGGACAGTGAGCTGAATGGGTGAATTTTTCCAAATCATCTATTTTGGCCTAGATCGTTCACTTCTCCTGCCTTCTCCAAACTATTCACCCTTTTGGGAATAACCCTGTTAAACATAATGATAGTGCCACATTAAATGCTTGGATATTGATTTCAAGAAAAGACGAGGATGCAAAGGAATATTGTATACTTTTGGCAAGAAGCCAGCTGTGTGTTTGTTTACCACCTTAAAATGTACTTCTGGGCATAGAAGATCTATCAGATAGCTGTTTATATTTCAGTGCAGACTCCCCACCTTACCTGCTTGTCAATGCATATCACCTGTATAGTACCCCCAAAGGCCTGACTTAATAGATGACCTCAAGGTTACAGCATTAAACTTTAGCAGTTTAATGCTAAATGTATGTTACAAAGGACGATTGTCAGAAAAAAAAACTAAAAAGTACCAAACTACTTCATAATACAAAAATGTAGAAAATTTTTCACGGATCTATTTTACTCCAAGCTCCACTGCGTAGATGCAATGCGGGTGCAGACCAGTAGCTGGCCACACTACGTAGTTACACAGTCCAAAAAAATGCTGCACACATCTAACTTTACCGTACAAATAGTTTATTCAAATCAAGCAGCAAGCATGGTGTAGTCCCTGCCTTGCAACCCACTACTATCACTGCCGACACATTTCACCCTCAAGGGCTTAATCATTTCTTGGACAGAATACTAAACTACCTCATTATATTCCGAGTAATGCTTGGTACATAAGCAAAACACAGTTATTATCACAGATAATGAGCATACATATGGCCATGCCAGCGCTGACTTTGATAAAATTGATATATGAATAGCCACTTTAGGAGGGCTGCAGGAAGTACTGGTGAGAGAAAACCTGAAGCTGCCACCTTATGGTGACAGCCAACTCCTACAGCTGCTTACTAGTTTTATTGGACTCACCATCCTTCTTGTCCTAGGTATTATCCAACATATGTAACATATTCACCCAAAGAACATTTTTATAAACTGTTTTAGGAGAGTTATCCATTTTAAAAGCTTAGTGGCCCCCAAAATTAATTCACAGGTTTGTGTTATAAAAGTAGTTTTGCATAAGCAAAGTTTGAGGAGCCTCCATAAAAGTATGACTTTTTTTTCCCCGCAATAATCGTACATTGAAGGTACATTTTATTTGTTACCCACAACATAACTGTTATTTTGCAGCTGTCGACTTACAAAGCACATTTATTTTGTGGTTATCAAATAAGGACACAAACAGAAGTTATACTAAGTAATGTAAGTGGAAAAAGTGATAAATAGACATACTCACCTCTCAGCATCATTTTTATTGTCTGTTCGGATTAAATGGCCTTCAGTCTTCAGGACACACTTTGTATGATGTCGTGCCCTCATACATAAGTGACTTAAACGTCCTTTATTACCTTTACCTAGGGAGACTGATATAAGACAATGATAAGTATTATACCACCACAAGTAAAAAAATGTACTGCAAGTATTTTTTATTAAATGCCTAACAATACCCAAATCCAAACGATATATATGAGAGCTGCTCCCCATCTTACCTTAATAAGCAATTACAGACAACAAATAAAAGTAAGCCAATCATTCTACCCAGCATACATTGCAGATCTGCTAGAATCAGAATGTTTACTCATATTACTTCTCTATTACTCACGTAATCAGAATCCAGCCTTTCACATGGTCACTGGGAGTGTAGTTTTTTTGGCTTACTGAATCACCGGACACATTTAATTTTCCAGGTAGATTTGAATTCGACTGGTGGCTGTATGAAACGTCTTAGTACTGATTCTCTGATTTTCTGCTTACTGTACATCAGTCTGAGTGTGAGGGATGGCAAAAAGCCTGCAGTGGGTGTGTTTGGGAATTTCTCTCCTGCATTGCAAGCAAGAGTTCTCAGATTCCACTGCAAAAGGGAGCAGTGCAAACTGGTGTGCTACAGCAATGCCTACATGAAAAACTCAAGGACTGACCATGTGTGTTATGCTCCCTGTACACAGTTTCAAAGTCTAGTTCTCATTGTAGGGGAAAAACTGGCATTGCTCATAGGTTAAAATAAATTGCGAGGAGAGCAGACTAAGAGGTATGTCCCTGTGTCTGAAACCTGATTCTAAATGTACAGAAAATTGGTATTAATAATATATCCAGATCCAGCATTACAGAATCACAAGTAAAAGCAATTAGACTCAATTCTGGATTTACCATCACTTTCTGTCCCAGTGGGAATGGTCATCAGGGTATAGAAGGGTAAATCTTCCCGGCAAGCAATAAAGACATGGAAGGGAAATGGAGCACACCATCCAATGATTTAAGAGTAAAAATGTCTCTTCCATCATAAAAGTCCACAGTAACAAAAACAATGTGTTTCAGTGGTTACAGCATACTCAGTTCATATGCACTTAGAGGAGCTGTAGGAGCCCTACAGTGTAGACCCTTCCTCAACTTATGAATCTGAATAGATTTTGTAGGCAGCACTGCCCAACCAAACTGTCCAATAAATATCTCTAAATTTCCAATAAAAAACTCTAAAACTAAAACCAAAAAAACCCAAGGGTTATTCTGTAAAAGTAAAAGAAAAAGCAAAATGTGTCCTTAAAGGAGAACTATGAGGTGAGTGATTTACACTCGTCTTCATAGTTAGAGTAAACGTGTGACATTGAAACTGTCACACGTCGACTCTATAGATTGGGAAGTGAGCGAACACATACCGTCGCTCGCTCACTTCCCGATCAATAGCCCACTATATACTGAGTTTTGAGACACGGGAGGAGGTAAGTATATGTCCTCCCATGACCCTAAAGAGAACTATGGGATAAAAAGGTTACCCCATAGTTCTCTTAACCATCAATTACCATAATAATCCATTTCTGAGAGCAGACCTAAAAATGAACACAACCCACGTCTGGCAGATTACCTTTGGCTTCATTTTCACTGTCCAGAACCATCTGAAAAACATCAGGGGCCAGACAAAGGCCAACATTCACAAGTAATGGACGCTTCTTCCTTACAGAATCCTTAGAGCTGCTCTGTTTTGCCTGTGACAAAAATAAAAGAAGTAATGGCTTTGTAAATTATATTGTATATGGCTGCTTTACCTTCCCAAATATCTGAACTACAGCAAAATACTTCTAATCAATGCTGCGGCCTTTAACCATTCAAAAACAAGTCAGATATGGCAGACAGCTATGGGAGTTAAATGATTTCTATCCTGACATTACAGCACAACTGACTGATCACTCCAATCACCTAACTTTCAAACTGAATACAAGAAACATTTGTTTGTGTTTACTTTAGATGAAAATGAAAAAGAGGTAAAGAGATTGCAAAATTCTTGAGGGGGTTTAGAGTCTGAGTTATGTGAGAAATTTTAAAATGTCTAAACTTGTACTTATGTATATAGATGACAACCATTTTGTATGCTTTGCACTCCACACTAATCTTTCTTCTTTCACACACTACCATTTACTCTCCATCAGACATCCCTACATTCTTTCTTGGAATTCTCTTGTCGGCACCCATATCATGCTAAATTGCAACTTCATTTCCTTTTTTCCTTAAAAGCAAATGAAAAGTTTATGTAAACATTTGTATAAGGTAAAAACTCCGGAACACAACAATAAACTAGAAGAGTTGGTATCGTAACCTTGGGTGTTTTGTCTCTCACTGCAATGATATCATACAAACTTAATTGGGAGCCACTAATCAACTTTCATACACCTTTTATAGTGTGACGATAAAAGTCCACGACAGTTATCAAACTATTTGTTTAATTTGATCCTTTATTTCCATCACTTCTAATCACATTTAAAGTCAATCTAATAAAAATCTTGTAGCATCAATTGGTCTTCCTTTGATTTTGATTATATGTATACAACTGAATACATTTAATCACATAACTGCAATGTCTGATCAAAGCTAGTGGGATCATGAAGGCTAAGTTGACAGCAAGCATCACCTGCTCAAGGATCATGGCTGCCTGATCTTCTGCACGCTGTGGTTTAGTGTACAGAGTAGCTCGGAGATGAAGACGATGCAGATACATTTTCAGGAAGTTTTGGTATTGCCCAGTACCATCAAGAACCAATGCTTTCTGGATGTGTCTTATGGCAACTTCAGTCCTATCCTCCTCATCCTCTATCTGTGCTATTTCCATGTGAATTTGGCAGCGCATTACAGTCAGCAAGCTAAAGACAGAAGATAACTGTCTGCATTAGGAACAAAATATTACAATAGAATAAAAACAGTAAAAAATGGATCCCCTGCCTTTAGTTTTATGCAATGATGGATCCCCTGCCCTTAGTTTTATGCAATGATATGCTCTATTGATATAGTTTGTCTCTATTTTACCTTTAGATACATAAAATCAAACCCTGAACATCATCATAGAATGTACCCGATCATGCAAGTTTCAGCTAGTGCCTCGGTTCTTCTGCTTGCTTAGCCAATTGATGGGTGGACAGCTTGAACCAGGCACTTAACTAAGGACATCTAAACATCTTCTCCTCCGTGCCTGCTGTTTGGTTTTCAATAAACCCATCATACTGCTCTCATAATTTACAATAAACTAAAATGCTTACTATGCAGGCATTACATAGGTAATCTGTGAAGGAAATACTGGGTTCCTCGTCTCAGGATCTTTCAAATGGCAGTTGGCCTGGGTATCACTCATTTGTGGACAATGGATTGGATAGACCCAGTTCTACCTACAATATTAACCCGAACAGTCTAATAACATTTTGATCCTTGTCTAGACGACTTTGTTAATATGTATATTAAGGAATACTTGCCTATCTATGTCTTCTAATGCTTCTGCAACAGACACCAGAGGCTTCTTCAAGTGCTTGTGCAAAGAACGTTGCAGTAAAGGCAAACAAAGATTCCACAGAGTTGTGCACACACCCTGGATAGAGATTGGGTCACGGAGATGTACAGCATCCTGTAATGTTGTCTCCAGTTTTTTGATAACTTTTATCTGTACCTATGTAAAGAAAAACATAATTCAGGTAATTTACTGCTGGAAATAAAATTACAAGCCCTATGTATGTGTGGTTGTGTGCATAGATATGAATACCATCCCCCCTTTTTACTCTTTGTAATCATCTATAGATTTGTGAAAAGATGGGACTTTTTTATGTTCTTTAACTCAATGATGTACGTCCAAATAACGTTTCATTAGGAATTTAACTGTAAATGTATGTAAAATGGGTGTTCAAAGTACAACTCCGTACACAACTGTTTTGATTGACATGTTCCCTTCAAATCAAAATGACAGGAACCTCAGGGACATTGTTCTGTGCATTCAAAACGTTCTCCTATAATGTGCCTGCTCTACTGTATGGCAGACACTGCAATCAGCATCCTTATGAAAAACTGCAGATTCAAAAAATGCATAGGATCAACAATTTGCTCCAGAATACTCAACACTGACCAGCTTTTAGTAGCTATACCAAGACTTGCAAACCAACTGTTTGATTCTGGAGCTGGGTGAACATAGTAAGCATTGAGGGGTACCCCGCTGATCAGCGATCCACTGAAGTCCTGAAATACTTGCTTATTCTAAAGAAATCTGGCCAAATCTGGTAGATGGAAGTGTGACCAAACACCTTACCGAGCCCTGGTATCTGGCCACCTAAACTAAACTGGAGAGAATAGAGTTCAGCTAGAGCCACTGCACTCTGGCACTCTGATTTCTTTTTTCCCCGACTTTACAATACCAAATGCCAATGATCCAGTGTTTGGTTACATGGCTGTAAAAATAGGAGAAAGCCCTCCGCACACCTTGCAGCAGTCCCGGCCAATTAAAGGATGATGGTGCTCGAAGTGACTCGATTCATGGATGGCACCGTGCAAACACAGAGCAAAAAACAAAAAGTCACCAGCACTTGATACTAGAAAGCAGAAATGTCCCTTTACTGGACAAAAAGCATCATAAAGAAGCCGACGTTTCGGGGACGCACAGGGTCCCTTCTTCAAGGCAAGAAGGGACCCTGTGCGGCCCCGAAACGTCGGCTTCTTTATTACGCTTTTTGTCCAATAAAGGGACATTTCTGCTTTCTAGTATCGAGTGCTGGTGACTTTTTGTTTTTTGCTCTGGTTACATGGCTGGTTAACACAGGAGCCTGATGCAGCAGTTTCTTCAGTATAGATAGGTGTTTCAGGGACTATATATAGTGTGGAAGAAGAGTCAGGGTGAAGAGACCAGTCAATAATGTTTATGGTGGTTGTTAAGTTTAAGATATACTGCGTCCTCTGCAACAAAGCAGAAGTGTAATAGGTACAGTACAAATACAATCATAAATACCTCAACAACATTTTTGGTGTACATTTCAATATGAGGGCCAAGAGAAAGAACTTCAAGTTCACTCTGTAGACATTCTATAGTTATAAGAGTTCTTTGATCCTAGAAAATGGAAAATACATGTTTAAAATTACATTGAATCAAGCCCAAAAAGCTTTAATAAGCTTTAATATATAAGTAAATGTGTATACAAGCGTCTCTTATTTGCTTTCCGTGGGTCTGTTAAATATTTAGTTTAAAGCATGGTATTATATCCTTTCAAAAGATGCAATAAAATATTGGTTGATTCTGCCAGAAACCCAGTGTTGCCCTGTGTCTTGTCCACTGCGCCGTCTAATCTTGTAGCAGAACTCCAGGAATTTTTCTTTATTAACCCTTGCAGTGGGGCTACCCCTGCACTGCAAGGGTTAACTGCTCCTTTGTGTCTAGGTTAAAAAAACACAAATATTTACTCACCCAAAGCTCCAAGCCAGCTTCTCCTTAGACCGGTCCACGGAATGTCTCTCCTCTTCCTCTACAGCGGTCTAAGGTCCAGTAAATCATCATGTCTATACACTGTCATGAGCGTCATGAGGACGCTGATAAACATTCCAATCTGGTACGGAGGATGGGACAGGCTGGAGGGAGCATTGTGGCAGCTGACCGGCTCGGAACTTTGGGTGAGTATATTTTTGTTATTTTAGCACCTAGATATAAACAAGCACTTAATCCTTGCAGTGCGGGGGTAGCTCCACTGCAAGGGTTAATAAAACAATTCCTGGATTTCTGCTTTAAGCAGTTCAGCTCTGTTTTGGAAATTAATAGAGGGGGAGGCATTCTGTAGTCCTTACACACTTCCTGCCCTAGTGTGGCAACACTGCACCTGCACAGATACAGTAAAGTGAGCAAGCGTAGCATTGTCACCCTTGGGCAGGAAGTCTGTTACTGGCAGGATCACCAGGTGGAAAAAAAGACCCAATCAAAAGCTGGTGAGCTGCAACATATTACATTTTTGTTGGGTAGAGGTTTAGATACACACTAAATTACAATTACAAGGCATACTAGTTGGCACATCAGAATTTGCTCAGTCCTAATGCTGAGGAAGACAGACTTTGCACCACAGGCGGCGAGGAGACATGGCAGTCTAATTGCTAATTTGATCCAGCAAAATCTAGCTCATTAATTGACAAAAATCGCTACTGCCTGCTTCTCTAAAAGAGCGTAACTAGTAAACACTCAGGGTCACAGGGTCATGCCACATCAATGATTTTATAGCACAGATTTGTAGCACCTATTCATTGCAAATCACTGGAGTAGTATGATTTTCATCTGATCAGCTGCATTGGATAACACGTGTTGCTACTGAATCTGGCAATGTTTCAGCTAGTTCTAAATCAGTGATTTTCAACGTAAAAGGTATAGGGGAGCTCAACGGTGACCCTTGGTGCCACTAAAGTGATGCACATCATGTTCAGCATTTAAAATGCTAAAATGAGAAGACTATAAGTGACTGCAGAGGAGATGATGGTCAGAGACTGTGGACATGCTGAAAGTTAGGCTGGAGACATGCTGCAAAAGAAAGTAAAGGACTGAGAACATGTTATACATAGGGCTAGTATAGATCACTGCTATTAACATTTTACAAATCAATGCTCCCACTACACTATATTCACTGCAATTTAATATTTTTTCGTAATGAAAACACCAAGGGCCATGTCAGGCCATGGAAATGCATGTTCAATTAGCCATCTTGTTTTTTCACCCCCAGATTTATCCCTCGCAGCTATTTTCCAACAACCCATTTATTAAGCAAGAGACCCCCTGTCTCAAAATTTTAAGTTCATGGTAAATGGAAATTGCACCATAAAAATGCAAGCCCTATGGTGATCCATGGTGGAAAAACATGAAAGGGTTATTATACCCTCACATTTTTTTGCATATATCTACTGCTAGCAAGCAGTAGATATATGCAAACATAAAAAAAAACTTCTTAAACAGGTTTATTTTTACCTGTGTCTTCGCTGCGCTCTCCCGTACGAACACCTGAAGCGTCTCGGGCGGCCACAAAGGATCTTGAGGCGGGCGCATGCGCCCTTCAGATGTTCGGCCGAGAGACAAGGTAAGTATATGGAGCAGCGTGCACCCTCACAGACACCGTGGGACAGCAAGAGAAGAGGAGGACAGAGGAGTCAGCGCTTGATCGGAAACCCGCACCAGCACTGGAGGGACAGCTGAAGAGGACAGGAAAGAAGAAGATGATCGAATAAAAAATACATCATTTAAGTCCCTACATAAGAATTGGGAAGGGGAAAACAAATCTGACTTTAATGTTACTTTAAGTAAACTCTGGGGGCTGGGTGAAAAGGGGACAAAAACAAATCAATGTTTTTCTAAATCTCTTTTCTAAATCTCCTACAAGCAAATTGCATAGCACAGTCACAATAACATTCAGCCACTGAACAGGGGTGGAAGTTGCACAGAACGGGACAGAAAAATAACCTTTAAAATTGAACTGAAGAAGACAGGGCAATTCGTAACCTTCTCAATCACCATCTGTGCAGTCTTACATTTACTACCAAACAGGATTCATTTAACAGCGTGTTACAGGGAGCAGTATAGCAGAAAACAGTACTTGTGATTACAATCCGTGTGACCAAACACAAGTTAAAAATCAAGAGAAACAGCAAGCATTTTTCTGGTCCTAAAGATGGAACATCCAAAGCTGTTTTGTAATTAGCAAACAAAGAAAAATGCTGTTCAGACCCATTTATTAAGTAGCCCCCTCTAATACAGAACACAGCATGTGCAAATCATAATAGCTCAGAAACATACAGCGAGATCTGTCGACTTCAAATCATTGATGCAAGCTGTGGCAAGTTGATTGCATTTTAATTCCAGTGAGAGATGAGCAAGTTCAATCAGCAGAGGAATTCTGTAAATAAATATAACAATCCAAAGTAAAGTATTATGGCTTAATAAATAAAATAAAAAAATGAAACAGCAAATAAAGTGGCTCAGTAAATTCTGTACAAAACAAAATCAATTTTTGATATACTGAATTATCTTAAATCCAATAAAGTGCTTAAAGTAAATAAACACGGTGTGAGGACAGTAAAAACGATTAAAGGGACCCCTCTTAAAGAACAAGTGTGGGGAGAGTAAAATAAACTGTCCCAGTAGCTTAGAGCTGGCATGGGGCATGGGAAGCTGCAGATGTCCCTCCCACACTGATAGTAGAGCGATTGCTTAGCTCTTGGTGTCTTCTCAATGCAGAAAGTGGTGACTAGGTGTGAGCACATTGCAAGTGGATAACATGTTGAAACTTGAAATTTGGACGATTGTAATACAAGAAAAAGCTACATTTCTTTCAATGGACACTACAGTTTTGTGGACTTGTTATGCATTTTTGGTTGCATATCTACACAGTAACACATATACATAACATGGATACTTTATTCACTTAATGTTTATATAAGTTTATACTTTACTTGGAGGTCTCGAGCACAGTGCGGCACATAGATATTTTGTTTATTTCAGGAGAATATTGTTGTTCTTTTAGTGCTTGCGGCTTGTTCATTGTGTTTTACTGGCACAGAGTGCATTGTATATTTTATTAACTCTGAATCATTTGCCAACCAAGTATATTGCTTGAGGAGTATCAGCTGCCAAGCAATAGGTTACCTCTGCTAGTTCTGATTCTTTGTTTACTTTATACAAAAACAGAATCATTACATCGTGGCTTGCCTTAAGCCTGAGTGAGAACGTTTTAGCTTTCATGGGTAGTAGAACTGTGATTATGAATGAGAAGCCAACAAGTTGAGAAGGGAGGAGGAGGGTGACTTTAATTATATCAGGGAGATCTCATGAACCTTGACAGCAATTTTATAAAATGAAAGGCGTCAAACAATACAATGGCACTTTGCAGCATCACAGCCAAGACTATAATTTCTGTTGTAACCTAATTATCCTATTAACATTCATTATGGAGTCAAGTGAATATATCTTAATGCAATTCAACCTCCAATAAAATGACTGTTCCTGGACCATAATAAATGCATGACTAGCATGCTTAAATCTATGTATGATTCCTCCTATCTAATCGACTCTCACTTTAATACATCCAAATGCACAGACTTCGCTCAGGTACTGTGATATCCTAAATAACAAAGAGATGAAGTGCAAAGTGTAGTAGCCCATAGAAACCAGTTTCAGATCAATGAAAGTAGATTGTAAAGCTCCAGTCCTTTTCACAATATTAAAAAATTAACAATTGGGAGATTCTGCTTTAAAAGTTCACAACACCGGTAGACACCAAGGACAATAAAAGCATGTAAACTTACTTCTCAGATGGGGATAAGCATAAAGCAGGTTCCTCAGCAACAGCCACAAGTTTAAAAATTTCACTTAAATTTGTAAAAACGTCCTTTGTTGTCAGAGAGCTGTTTAATTGCCTAAGTGAGAAAACATAAAAAAGATGACAAGGCACGGGACATATTTTCATGTTCACTACCATTACCGCAGAACAGCCCATACATCCTAACTACCTATACAAAACCCTTTTCTAAGTCTCATTCATTCCATTCATCTTCTCTGCTGGCACAGCCCCGCTAACTGTCAGGAACAGAAGAACTTTACATTATTACTAACTTTAATTATTACTATTATACTAAATGCAAGTGGCTTTATCAAGTACTAAAAATAGTCATAGTTATACAGTTTACATTCACAGTTATATAATGGAAGTTCAAAAATGTAATACCCTGTAAACAAAGAGATTCCTGTTCAGGTGTAATACCGTAAATAAGACACTGTCTTATATTTTTTGGGGCTCAAAAAAACACTCTAGGTCTTATTTTCGGAGTAGGTCCTATTTTTATTTTTTTTTATGTACAACAATGCACACGTATTTATGTAGAAAATTCTACATGTATTCATATTCAAAAATATGGTGATCAGGGCAAATCAGGGGTGCTGCTTCCTCTAGCGCTGGCTTCGTTGGCACCGCCGATTCTCTCCCGCGGCTCTTCAAGTTCCCTCTTATGCCACCACCGGCCCTGGGAATGGTCACAACTAGGTCTTAATTTCGGGGTAGGTCTTATATTTTAGCATTTCCCAAAAATAGTACTAGGTCTTATTTTCGGGGTAGGTCTTATTTTCGGGGAATACATGAACTGCTAATGAAGCCACAAGTCTCAGTATTTTTGGTACCATTACTGGTCTGCAGTGACATCATTATGTTCTGTCAAAGCATGAAATGATGAACTTAGAATCAGTACTTAGAATCGTTGAACACTAAACCCACCTCTTTGTTTAGATTCAGGGTCATTCTTAAAATAAGGATACTGGGAATTATAGGAATGAATATCATGATGCCATTCATTAGGTAAACCATTTAGCCGTAGGAGAAATTAATAGGCAATATTTTCACAAATATTTCAGGCAGTATGTTTCTATAAAATTATTTTTGCAGAGCATGTCAGCTTTTCTATTAAGACATTCAAACAATGTCAGCTCAATTGTTGACTGTTTCTTTCTAATTGAAACTTCATGTGGAGTACAGTTGGGAGTTTCTGCTAATTGTCAATGGGAGGGGTGTGCTCCCTTTCTTCATTCAGCTTTGTGTGTTTTTAATAGAGATTGACATTAGATTACATCAGAACACTCCACCTGTCTGCCATGCAAGCACAAAGAGGTGGCAAGTCTAGCATGTGTTTAATATTTTTTTTATAGGGCCACATATTCACTTTAAAGTCAGTGCCTGTTCCCATGGAAAACCATGCTATATGGTTTTTTTTCACTTATGTTCTCCTCATTATCACAGTGGCAGTGAGGTCTTCAGTCTTCCGGAGTTGGATGCAACTGGGAGCCCTGTTTCATATCTACCAGATGAAGGGCAACCTGTCAGATTACGTGCATGCATAGCGATAAAGCTGTGCAGCTGCTGAGGGTGACAACGATGCAGTGCATTTAATACAGACCCTCTAGTATTGTCACCCATCTGGAGAAAGATCTGAAAGCTGGCAGAATCTTATTTTTTTGAATAAGAAAAGCGATTTAAGTATTATTCTGAAGCTATATATATTTTTATTGAAGAAATACATGGGTATCTAGTTTGGTTAAAAAAAAGTTGATGTGCATATCACTTGTCCTCCCAGTTTCCTAAACTGAGGCAAAAAATAATTAGGAAATGATGTAATAATTATGTATATATATAATTATTACATATATAAAATGAATAGTAAATAGCTATAACTGATGTTAAAGATCCAATACTATTAATCTAGAAAAATAATTTTATGATGCAGCTGTCATTTTAGCCTCATAATCTGGAAAATCCATTTAGTGCAGAGTAGGGTCCCATGATTTGAGTACAGCTTAGGGGCCCTTAACAGCATTAAACTGTCATTGGTTATTTGACATACTCATTTAACAACCTTCTCATTTTGTTTGTTGCATCACCTAGCAATGGCATGATAACAGGAAAGCGAATGTCCCCAGTGAAAAAAACCGTACTTACGATCTCAGCTTCTGAATTTTATAGATGACTGACAAACTTGCTGAACTTTTAGTTTCCTTTACCGCTTTAGCAGAGTCAATTAATTTGTGATGCACCTTAATGTAAGAAAACAATTCATTATTCATGGCAGACAGAAAACAAACATTAAATGCACTTTGCATGTATAGATCTAATTGACTAGTCACATGGATAGAGGCGGTTTACATAAATGATTAGAAGAACTCCACTGTACTTGGCTAAGTACAGTGGAGTTCTAAAAGGCTTCATGAACCAGGATTCTCCTGAATACTCACAGATTTATTCACATTTGTGTTTTCAAATCCTGCCCTGGATTTCCAATAACAAATGCTGGTTTCTCAGGTTTGGCACCCCACCTCCAACTAGACAGGGAAAGGGGAGACCTACCTCTGTCAAGTCAACATGGTCCTGGAGGCCCTTAATAGTTCTGTCTTGCAATTAGGCTTAATCACAACATCTCACTGAATACAAGCAGACTTTCCCCTAAAGGAAGTTTTCCTTCACATTTTACTTTATTTTGAGCCTCCAGTAATAAAAATGAATGCAAAATTATACACCACTGTAACAAGGCTGCTATTAAGTCAGCTCTGTTACACTTGGCTCACATGAAAGCCTCTAAAAAACTGCTATAATTGCCATTAAATGAAAACAAAAATAAATTATCTAATACTATTTGTTATCCTAAAAGACAGCACGCAATAACCATTTTAATTATTTCAGAAAACTACTTCAGTTGAAATAAACCTAATTTGATGGGATACCCATGAATTTCTGTAGCTGTATTTGTCAACTCTTTTCCCTGGGCAAATAACTGAACCAGGAAAAATTCTCAGCTGTCACAATCTGCTTCTTCCTGCTTTCACTGCTATTAACCACTTTGCCCCAGCAACCAGCAGCATATAGTGCTAACAACCACCACCAAGTATTTCCCTCCAACTCATGAACCTCCTTAATCTATTGTCCTGATTAACAGAAAATGGAAGCCGGATACAAGACAACCCCAGCTGGTCAAAAAAATGATTGTTCCAGTGTCTTCCTCATCCACCTTGGTCCTTCCCTCTAGCATTATTCACTCACAAGCTCATGTAATCGTACACTTGCTGCAATTTAAGGATTCACAGAAGAGGAGGACAGGCTAGGGAGTCAGCTTCCACCTAGGGTTGGAACGAGCAGCACAGAAAGTCTGGAGTAGAGCGGTACTGCTGGTAACAATTTTCATGTAACCTGTGCTTTGCTGCCAGTAGACTTTATGTCCCTAACTTTACAGCAGATTGGTGCCTTCACATTTTACCTGTTACCTTGTTGCTCTTGTCATCTAATTTCCAAGACCATTAACCTGCCCTCTTATATCCATCTGTAACAGTCCTATGCACTATTGTATATAGTTTGCTTTTGCTTCAATTTATTGTTTATTTGCTCTAGTTTTCCTGTACATGTTCTATTTATGACTGTATAGCATGCATTTTTTAACACATCGATCCAATGGTGCTTATTTGGGAATTTGTGTTACTCCTTTACAAATTCTTGCTCCCCCACACATACAGTATAGCATAGGTTTTCTGATAGGCACCCGTGATATAGTCAGATTCTACCCCTTTTCTTTATATAAGCTGTGTTGTCAATCAGCATGATGTAATGTAGAGCAGACACAAAACTTACAAGGTTGGCAGGAAAAGGGAAGACAGTTAGCAGATCCCCCATCCCATGAAGGAAGCCTTAATGCTAATTGTATTTAGGGACCACAACAGCTCCTCATTTTAAAACAATACACTGAAATATTAATACAGATATTCAGCTCATGCATGCAATTTAGACACTAAGAATTACCATCTTAGAAAATAGTAGAGGGTATTTCTGAGGGACATTGGTTTTAATGAACACAGCAGCCAGTGATGCACAGTCCACAGCTTCCTTCATCTTCTGTCCATCCAGCAAACACTCCAACAGCTCCCTAATAAGACAAAACAGTAATGTTTGCCCAAGTGACATGACGAAGAAAATAAAATATTTCTGAGCTTTCAATAAGACAACCAACAATACTTACATCATTAAGTCAGCTCTCCAGTTCTTGTCCTCATCATTTGTGTTTCCCAAAGCCTTTACAACAGTAGCAAGGCTATTAGTAAGGAGATGGCGACTGCCTGGCTTTAGAAATGGACGTACTGTTTGCCAGTACAGGACAGAGGCATTGTACACCAGAAACTGGTATCTGACAAGAAACAGATAAAGGGTCAATTCAAACAGAAGTAATATTTAGCTGCAGCCCAGTAGCCCAGTCAAGCAATAACTTCCTATGTATCTTTTATATTCCAACAGTAAGATCTCCTTGTCATAATTCCCGGCTTTGTTCCTGTCCACCTTGGAGATTTGTATGTTCGGCTTCTGGTGTTGCTTTCTCCATAATATAAAATAAATGAAAAATCCAGCAGGGCGAGCAGGACCTCTCATAATGGTCACATTAGTTGATCAGAGCTAGAATTTAGTTTAGCAGATATCACACCAACAGAGACACAGTTTTGGATGGAACTGCATTCTGTGTAGAACTTGTGAGTTCACCAAAACTGGAAGAAACAGAAGGTGTCATCATACAGGTACCTTTGTGCTATAGGTACAAATTTTTATTGCTCCAAGCAGTCCATCCAAGAACAAACAGCAGTAACAGGTAAATTGCCACCAACCTTGTGAAAATCGTACGCTCAACTGAAGTTTCCGAACATGCAGGAAAGACAAAAGTTGTACGATTGTACAGTACAGGCGGTTGCACACTACCCATACACCTTACGATTGTCATACGAAAAGTCGATCACATGCGATTATCGTACGATAATCGTAAGGGCACCTTTGGAGATGGTGGATCCCTTGAAGCGTAGTTGCAAATGGCACTGGGATCCAGATCAGAGTCCAAGTGACAATTTTAGAAAACACAAGTGAAACATATGGCTGCTACATTATAGACAGGTGGTGATTGCAGCAGGCTAATACTTCTGTCCAATTATGAACAACATTATTACAGGTGACACTTAAGCTGGCCATACACCTTACCATTATCTGCAGATTTTCTGCGGTCAGATGGAAAAGGTGCAACAGATTCCTCCATCTACACTTAACTGTGTGGCTGGAGTAATCTCCACCTGGGTCAATCTGTTGCACTTTTTCCATCTGACCACAGAAAATCTGCAGATAATTGTAAGGTGTATGGGGACCTTTAGACTTGGCAAAAGGTTGTGACAGTGGCACGGCTGAGTGTAATCTGTAAACTGCTGATCTAGTTGTTCTACAAAATACAGTTATTATAGAGATCAGATATTTATATCACATGCCTATTAAAATGAAATAGATTGATATTGCTCACACCTTTTCTGTTTTGTTGCCAAATCGATTGCTTTCAGATAGCAGACCACTGACTTTTCCAATTCATCCTAAAATATAAATAAATAATAACTTATTCACATACTGCATAATTAAACAGACCTGGGATAAACACATATCTATCCTTAGGCAAAAATATTAAAACTGAACTCCAGGTAGATATGAAAAACACCAATGAATGCAGTTCAGTATTGAAGAAAAAAAAATATATAGAATTTATTTTTCAATACAACTAAGTTTTAGTCTCTTTTAACTTATTGTACAGCAGCATTCACTGATATAACACTTTACTCCCAGGTATTCTGATGCACTTTAAACCAACAAGTTTGCTGGGGGTTTTTTATACTTTAAAAAAATATTTGTATTTTTAATTACCTCTACTGATATCAGTTTGCAGCCTAATTTCTGTAGTGAGATTTCTTTAGTTTGCATTTTATCATACTGATCTTATTAGGAAAAAAATGATTATATATATATTTTGTATTTTTATTTTTTAAGTATTTTTTTTTCATTTTGTTGGGAAGGAGCAGATTTATAAAGTTTAAAAGCAGATTTATGAAGTTACTTAAAGGACCACTTTAATCTGATAAACTAAATCTGACAAACTGAACTAATCCATAACATTGCCTAAATCAAACACATACCACATTATTAGCAGACAAGGGGTTGTGTAACTGGGCTTTGCACAGGTACGCTCTCCCATAAAACTGGTTTGGAGGCGGTTTGCTGTTGAAATACATTTGAAGGCAGTCTTTGCTCACAGCATGATTTCCAAGCTGCAACAAAGCAAAATGATAGAAAAAGAGAAGCATTATTTTTAAGTTACAAAGGAAAGGTCAATTACTTTACAGACGAAAAGTACTACGCAAAAATAAAAAGACTGCAGCCTAGTAGGAGTCATTACAGGCACCGACTTCCAGACAAGCACGTGGGTGTAATCCAAACTTAAAAAGTAAAGAGATCAATAAGGAGCTAGAACAAATCAGGATCTGTACAGGTTACTTACATATGTTATTTATTGGAAAACACATAGAACGCCAAGCTGCTATCCTGCGTTGTGTAAAGTTTCTGAACAAAGATTTAATTTTACAAAACTAATAATGAATAAGACTTAAGGTGCTCAGACAATGTAGGTTCTCAGGACATGACCCAGGGCAGGCTTTAAGATATAGATGCTTAACAGATTGGGAGTAAATGTATAGGGTCAGACTGGAGGGGATGTCCGACCAGATGACCCCAAGCAAGCTGTGAGATCCGGATCTTTATCAGATTGGGAGTAAATCAATGGGGGTCAGGCTAGAGGAAATGTCAAACCAAATGACCCAGCACAAGCATTGAGATCTGGCAGTGTGTGGCCTCTTTAAGCAGCATAATGTGCCCTGCCACACTGCAAAAATGGTTCAAGAATGGTTTGAGGAACACAACAGTGAGTTTGAAGTATTGACTTGACCTCCAAATTCTTCACATCTCAATCCAATCAAGAATCTGTGGGATGTGCTGGAAAAAAACCAAGTCCGATCCAAGGAGGCCCCACCTCACAACCTACAGGACTTAAAGGATCTGCTACTGACGACTTGGTGCCAGATACCACAGCGTACTTCAGAGGTCTAGTGGTGTCCATGCGTCGATGGGTCAAGACTGTTTTGGCAGCCAAAGGGGCACCTTCTCAATACTAGGCAGGTGGTCATTTTATATGAATCCACTGGAGCCAATCAGATTTAGGGGATTTATTCTGCTTTATTATCTATGTGTACTATAAGTCAGACAAGTTTATTCTAAAGGCAAACCAAGATGCAATGTTAAAGAAGCCAGGAAGCATGCATCAGAAAACAATATACAAGGCTCAAAAGGAAATGCACCAGCTATTTTTTGTGCATTGGCCACCTGGTTTCTGGGATGTCTCCAGCCTTTTTATATCAACATTTGATTTGTTGCCAGATTAAGGCTGAACTCAAGCACGATAACATATAACAAGGGACCCTGTTTGGATAGAAAAAGCCATTGCTGGTTGGGCTCCAGGGCTTTTATCCTTACCTTTACATTGTTATTTTGAATGTCACTGACCTGGAACAAGCATCGAGGTAGCAATGTGTCTGGAAAGTTGACCTGAATACTTATACTGGGTCAGTGACTTGCTAAGTAATAAAACACAATGAAGAATGAAACCACTGATGCTTGAACCTTTGAATGTGATAAAAAGAAATGTAGAAGCTGCCATCATGACAGGTTCTCTTTAGATCAATTAGGATTTATCTGCAGACTAACCTTTTTCTTTTGCTTGTGGGTAGAGTGGTGGAGGGTTAAGAACAGGGGTGGGGAACCTCGGACCCTCCAGCAATGGTGAAACTACAAATCCTATGAGGAACTGCAAGATTCTCACAGCCACAGGCATGACTCCCAGAGACAGATGCATCATGGGATTTGTAGTTACACCACAGCTGGAGGGCCGGAGGTTCCCCACCCCTGGTTTAGAAGCTCTGCATCTTTCTATAGTTCTGCTTTTTTTTAAAAAGCTCCAAATACTTACCTTAAACTCTTGTCTTGTAAACACCGGGTCTCAGATCTTCTTTTATCTGCTCCATAGCGTTGGAGGGTCCAGTCTGCACTGATTGTATTGCTTCCTTGTCATGTGGACCTTGCCAATTGGCTGTCAGCAGGGCTCAGCACAGGATCCTTACAAGGTCCTGCAGCATTTAGCATGGACATCATGCACACAAAGTCAGCCAAACTGGAGAAGAGAACAAACAGCTATTTCCGGCCAATGCTACTGGTAAAAGTGTCCCAAAGATCACATGACAGCTGATTTAGGGGATTTTTTTTTTTTTTAGGGAAAACAAAAACAGATTAGGTATGTGCAGATAGTTAGGTGGCTGGACTTTTTTTTCCACTTACCAGTTTCCAACCTTTACTACAAGAATGATAACTATGATATAACTGACTGCTACAAGCAAGACCATCACTTTCACACAGTCCTGATACGTGATCATTACAAGTACAAGAAAACCTTGATTAAGACTCAGTCAGCTTACGTTATCAGTCTTCCATATCGTAACACTACAGACACTTACTATAAGGGCTTGTTCTGCACATAGGACATACAGATCCGAGCTGAACATTTCTGGAGCATCTTTTGTTGATCCGTCCCTGTTAGTACCTTTCATTAATTTGTACGCACTGTACAGGGCATCAGCATCTTGACAGGGGTTAGAAAATAAGGAAAATACATCTGTTAGAGCACACAATTAGTGTCAGGGATGCCCCTCAAGTCCTCGCTTGAAGACAGACACATGCACAGTAGTCTGAGTCGCTGAACATAACTTATAAGTTAATTAGAAGTGGAGGGAGGAAAAAGTAAGAAAAACAAGCAAGGAAGGATGCTTACAAACATCACCATCTATATAAATCAAGGGATATCTTAAAGGAGAACTATGGGGTCAGGGCTTTTCCCCATAGTTCTCCTTAGGGTAACGGGAGGACACAAACTAGCGTCCTCACGTCACCCTAAGCTCAGTATACCGCGAGCTACAGCAGAGCCAGCTGTACCCGCCCCCTCCCCCGTCCGTTCCGCCAGTCAGTGCTGGCGGATTGGAGCGGGGAGGAGGGAATCCATCCCCTCCCCTGTCACGGCAGAGAGCCGTGACAGGATTGAAAAGTGAGCGAATGCCGGTATGTGTTCGCTCACTTCCCGATCTACTGAGCCGACCTGTGACAGTTTCATTGTCACAGGTCGGCTAGAACTTTGAGGTGAGTGAAAAGCACTCACCTCATAGTTCTCCTTTAATATTACATTTTAAAAAAATTGATAAAAAGTGGAATTCTGATATAGACATTTTTTTTTTTTTTTTAAGTTGGATAGACTAGGGTTGGATAGAATTGGGTTACATAGTATTTGAGATTGAATAAAGACATATGTCCATCAAGTCCAACCTATTTGTGTATGTGTGTATGGTCCTATTGGTGTGTAGTATGTATAGGTCCCTTGTGTGTTCTCAATTAGGCCTTACTATTTTTTTTTAATGTTGGCAGAATATGACAGATTATGCGGAACAATGAAGACTTTCCTGATCATCAGATATAAAAATAGAAAATATAATGAAAACCACCATACATTCACTTTACATCCCAAATTTGGTACTCCATAGCAGTCAACAAGAATTTGCTGTTGTTGTTGTTATTGCACTTTACACATTTATTGACACCAGACCATAACACCTATATGACCTTGTTCCCTACTTGGCACCTATTGTGTTGTCTGACAGTCTAAGACTCCTGTTGGGTACCATCTGCCCCCCTGAATAGTGGGAATTGCCTAGCCGCTGAGGCAACTGCTTATATTCTGGATACAGGAATATGTGATACAATTGACTCAATCCAGATTTCCGCTGTGTTTGCTGTCGAGCCGCTGGGACAATTGTTTATATTCTGGATACAGGAATATGTGATACAACTTATCAAATCCATATTTCCGCTGTGGTTGCTGCCCAGCCACTGGGACAATTGTTTATATTCTGGATACAAGAATATGTGATACAACTTATCAAATTCAGATTTTTGCTGCGATTGGAGTCTAGCTTTTTCTCCTTCTCTTTTCCCATGTCCACTGGAGAGGATGTGTCTGTTGACATCAGTGCATAATAGAAGTCACCAGGACTCGATGATGTGTGCAAGAAGTAAAGCACTTTTTATTAAATTGTTACATGCGTCAGACAGCCAACGTTTCGGGGGCCACGCAGGGTCCCTTCTTCTGGGCGACAAAGTGACATGGGACACTGTGTCGCCCAGAAGGGACCCTGCGTGGCCCCGAAACGTTGGCTGTATGACGCATGTGATGATTTAATAAAAAGTGCTTTACTTCTTCCACATATCATCGAGTGCTGGTGACTTTCTATTATGGACTGTATCTGACACGGCACCATCCGTGTTGTCACTTCAAGCACCAACCTTTCATCCAAGGTCTGTACGCTGTATGGAGTGCAGGTGATTTCGTATTATCTGTTGCCATCAGTGGTCTAATGTAGGAGGTGTAACAACATGTACCTCCCGAAGAGCCTTTTATTATACAGTATATTGATTTTAAATTATTCCGAGAGCCTCCTGAAGAAGCATTTGGCTGAGTATTGCGAAACACATTGAGGTGCTACTGTTCTCGTTTGTGGGCCTTTGTTATCATACAACTTTACACACTGTACGTATATAAACTGATATGAATGTACTGTAAACAAACTAAATATGCTGGCAAGGCAAGGTAATCTCACAGTTCCATGTGTATGATGTGCTGTTTTTAATGTAATGTTCTGATGATATTATTAGCTCTTCTGAATCAAATGAAGCATTGATTTTTAATGAATGAAGTTGTATGAGTAGCATTAAAGTCTGCCAGTGTTCTAATGAATAGTTTTCCTCTGGTTAACTGTTTGAATAGTATAGATTCGGATGTGGCACTTTCTTATTCTTATTGAGGCAGAATACATTACACTTTGTATTATTTATAACATTGTAGGTCTTCAGACTTACCTTGCTGACTTTCTGCAACACAGAGGTGTTGTCTTATAATCAGATCCATTGAGCTTTAGTGTTTTAATAATCTGTAAGAACAACCGAGAATGTTTACATGTTGCAGGCATTATTTCAAACTGGAGATCAGCAGATTAAAGGGACTGGTCGGGACACAAATACAAGAACTGCCATTGATTTTTGAAGCTGCGGTCATCTTTATCCTTCCTTTATTTCTTGGCTAATCATTGCCCAGAGCAAGCACATAAATATTAGGTGTCATGAAGCCTTGACACGCGATAGTTGGTTGTTTTTTCTAGGACAGGAAGTTGCTGAGATGGCAAGGATGAAGATGACAGCACCTTACAAAACAGGTCAGCAACAGCGGCTCCCATATTCATGTACTGACAGGTGCTCTTAGTGTACATTCACACAATGCAGTTTGGGATTCCCAAATCTCCCATTTAGGATGTGACCTCTGTCACCTGTTCAAGTTAATGACCAGGTGACAGTGGCTGCATCTCTCAGCAGCAGTCTGCATGTAATCATATATATGATATGATTACATGCAGTTGGGAATGATCACTGTCCCTGCACACATCTATTGTGCGCCCAGCCACAAGCATCCATTCCAAACCGTATGTATTTGTATCACATACATGCAGACTGCCGCTTACAGACGGGCATTAACTTGAACGGATGACAGCAGCCGCATCTAAACAGGAGATTTGGGCGTCCTGCTGCAGTAATCCCAAATCGCATAGCGTGAATGGGGCCTAAGGCCCCATTCACACCAGGGCAGTTCAGTCGCGCAGATTGTTCCGCACTGAACTGCCAACAGTAAAAAACACATTTATTCCTATGGGGCACGTTCGCACAAATGCGCACACTCGTGCGTTTCAATCCGCCTGCCGCCCAAACTGCTTCCTGGGCCACTTTTTCAGCGCTGATCAGTGCGTTTCCATATAGATTTCAATAGAAACGTGCTGTTCAGTGCGTTTTTAAATTGCGTTTCAGTGCTGAAACACGATTAAAAACGCATGAAAACGCCCTTTCATAAATCACACGGAAACCACGCTGAAATGCTACCGCCCTGGTGTGAATGGGGCCTAAGTGAGACCTTACTGAGAGTGGCAAGGTTACAGCATAAGACAGGACTGACAATATCCCTATCGCTGAAGAAAGCACACAATATACTATAGGTACATGTTATTATAATAACACTTTAGGCTGAAACTAAATATTTTGTATTGTTTTGGTTTTTTTTAACTGCTATTCTAAATATTATATTAAAAACCAACAAAATAATAACAAATTCTAGGAAACAAATCTAGAATCAACAATATAAGTTATTGTTATACAAATTCCACCATAGCAGCTCACAGGTCAAATTGAGCTCCGTGGTCTACATGGGGAGTGTAGCAATCAAAATACTTTTGGGGGGGGGGATTTACTAAAACCGAAGCAGACAGAATCTGAAGCAGCTGTGCATAGTAACCAATCAGCTTCTCTGTTCAGTTTGTTCAGTTAAGCTGCCCACACACCTGACAATTATCTGCAGATTTTCTGTGGTCAGATGGAAAAAGTGCAACAGATTGGCCCAGGTGGAGATTACTCCAGCCACACAGTTACGTGTAGATGGAGGAATCTGTTGCACCTTTTCCATCTGACCATAGAAAATCTGCAGATAATTGTAAGGTGTGTGGGCAGCTTTAGGCTGGGCACACACCTTACAACCATCGCAAGACCTTTGTCTTGCAATGGTTGTAAGGTAATTAAAAAAACTTACGATCTGCCTCTCTTGGACAGGCAGATCGTACTTGCGATGATCGCAAGCCGCGCCCCCCTGAGGGGCGGGCTTCCAATGACCGCAATGCCCGTCCGGCTTTTATCTTACGAACATGCTACACACCCGCCGCACATAGTACGATTCTCGGCGGGTTTTCGAACATGTTCCTAAGATAAAAGTCGTGCGACCTTACAGTAGTAGAGGTCGCACGGCTTCCACACACCTTGCGATAATCGTACGATCGCGGGAGTTCCCGCGATTATCGTACGATTATCGCAAGATGTGTGGGCACCTTTAGGCCTGGTTCACACCTAGGCGTATTGCATATGCGCGGTCGTTGCAATTCGCGGTAAAAAAATCGCGTGACAAACGCGCGTTTCCGAGGGCTACTTGGCTGTATCCAATTGGAAACGCTCAACAAAAATGGCCCAAAGTAGTACATATACCTTTTCAGGCGTGGGCCGTTTTGTAGCGCGTTAGGGACGGGTTGAAATACGCCAAGGTGTGAACCAGACCCATTGAATACAATGGGATTGAGATGTTTGAGCGATTTGTAGAGCGTTCGTCGAGCGTAGAACGTTCAGGTGTGAACAAGGCCTTAAGCTTTGAAAATGAAATCTAGAAGCTGATTGGTTTGCCATGTAGAGCTGCTATAGATTTGATCTGTTCTAGCCTTAGGTAATTCCCCTCATATTTATAATGCACCAAGACAAGCTGTCTGATCACCAGTGGAAAAGGTTTACAGTGAAAACTGTACTGAAAGGATAACAGAGTTTACCATTGCTGACCTTCTTCTGCAAATGCTTACTGCCTGGATGTCACACTCAACACTCTCAGTTGCTAAGTGAGGAAAGCATGCAGCTAGTAAGGGAAAAAGAAGATCTGAAAACAATATTCCAGGTTAGCAGCTCAAAAATATTAAATCATGCGCAACAGCATGGCAGCCAGACAATCAGCATTTTCAAAAAGTGGGTTCATCAATGGCAGCCACCATGTATGCTCAGGACAGGTTTCGTTAGAGAGGGCCGGATGATTTTCTGGCCCAGGTATAAAGAAATAGATACCCGAATATCATATATGAATTGTTATACCTGTCATATGGGCTTAGTATTGGGGCATTTTCACGAGTACAAGTACTCGTAAAAATGCCCAGTATCGCCACCGATTTTAGTATACTGTAGGTATCAGTGCATCTCTAGTTTAAGATAAGGACTTCTGACCCTTTTCTGCAATGCCTGCATCCAATCAGATTGTTCAGGTATTTTGAGAGCCAGCGGGGCCGACTAGCAAGATACTGAAGCTTGGCCCAGTGGGAGATTCCTCCAGCCACACAGTTTAGCATAGATGGAGGAATCTGTTGCACTTTTCCCATCTGACCATAGAAAATCTGCAGATAGTCTATAGGTGTATGGCCAGCTTAAGACGTGATGATGTCAGCGGTCCTTAGAGCCCAGGGGAGAAGAGGCTGCAGGGACCAGTCTAGCAGCCCGGTGGGAGCTGGTGGGACCAAGGATCAGGTAAGTATATTTGTTTTAATGGTGTCCCCTAGATGAAACGAGCACTTAACCCTTGCAGCGCAGGGGTAGCCCCATTACAAAGGTAGTTTTTTTTTTTAGGGATGCACCGATACTGATACTTGTACGCGCTACCCAAAAAACCAGCCCTGGTGCATCCCTAGTTTTTTCTTTGCCTGGAGTTCTCTAAAATCATAAAACAAAACCCTTCATAGAGCTCTGAACCGATCACTGCAAATCATAATACTGTTTAGGTGAATTTCTTACCTTTGAATAGGATTAGATCTTCCAGATCCACCCTCTATAATGTACGGATGACCACTGTTACCCAGAAAATAAATCCTAAATATCAGAGTTTAGTGATGTGTGTGGGGGCTTGGTGTGAATCAAGCCCCCACTTGTGACTAACCCACCTTGTGGCCCAATTTATTATGGAAAGGGCATCCCCCACTCCTTTGGGAAAAGCCCCAGCCGCAACTGATTGGGTGGGGGGCGGGCTATCAGTCATCGTTCTGCACGTTCTTGGGTTCGCACCAAGCCCCCCACACTTTTAGAGTTGTCACCAGTACAGGAGATGAGAGAAAACTTGCAATGGGAACACTTGTTCCAGGGACAAAGTTCAGAAACGTCACCAGCGCTCCAATTCAAACGTGAAAAAAAATCAATTTAATGACTTAAACTTGTCATGCAATGCAAGCACTTTTGGGGCCTCACACGGTCACCTTCATCAGGCTCAGAATGACAAATCGTCATTCTGAGCCTGATGACGGTGACCGTGTGAGGCCCTGGAAGCGCTTGCATTGCATAACAAGTTTGTGTCATTAAATTGATTTTTTTTCACGTTTGAATTGGAGCGCTGGTGACGTTTCTGAACTTTGTGTTATTTCACTGTGCCATCCGTGGTCATTTTAAACACCCACCTGGACCATACAGGTTTCCATCACAACCCGGTAAGGAGTGCAGCAGGATACATCTATACGTTACTTGTTCCAGGGACAACACATCCTGCTGCATCTCTAGGAGAAGAAGTGGGACATTTTCCAATTGGTACACAGGTAATAAACACAAAACCTGGCAGGGCCTTTCATTGCATTCAAAAGAAAGTTGTTTTGACTGTAAATACATGTTACATTTCTAGATGTTCCCTATAACAAAACTAATCTTTATTTTATGATTTCTGCTCCTCTCAACAGAAATAAAATCCCTCGTACCGCTCTGATCATAATGAGATGACATTGCATTTCTAACCGATCCCTTCCATAATGAAGACCATGGCGCTACATATTCAATATACAATCATAGTCAGCTTCCTGGCAGTGTCAGGGTGCCCCAGGATCACTGAGCTCTCTCCAGCACTTCTAGAACCACAAGTCCCAGCAGGCTCCCTTCCTGGTGAGGCACGCTAAGACTTTTAGTTCCTCGAGACATGACACTGTATTCTTTACACCCGCATGCACGCGCTACACCCGGCACGCTCCGACCTCACCGACCTCCTAATGAGGAACGAGCCGGGCACAAAACACGCTCACCTCCATCCAGCACCCGCAGAACGTGTACCCAACATTGTAACTAGGCAACGGGGACGCGCAGACTCCGCCTACAGGAGCCGCACTGGATCAAAACTCCTCTACCTATCCTCGTGTCCTTTTCGCTTCGCAATGCATTGTACAAAGTAATTAAATGTTACCATGTATTATATGTAAAGGCTTAATGTTCGAGCCTTCACACCCCAGGGATGTCACAAATGTTTAAAGAGACCAACTTCAACATTTGGAAGTAAAATCAAAGAA